GTGAGAGAAGTGGATGAGAGAGCAGAGACTTCGGATGTCTTTTATAGCAGTCCTGCACTGCCTCAGGCGTAGAGGCACCTCAGTGGAAGTCATAATTTTCTGACCAGCTCATGTCAAATCTGAACTGTCCCAGCTAATGGCAGGGACTGTGTCCCAGTTTCCTCCACTGTGGCTTTTCCATTTCCTGGCTTCTGCCACGTGCTTTCCCATATGAAGGGTCATTTTTCAAAGTGCCAGGATGACAGCATCAAGGATTTCAGGGCAGAAAGACATCAGTGGACAAAGAAGGTTTAGATTAAGGGCCAGTGGCATTCAGGTAATGTGTACCTGTGTCATTCCTCTGGACTCCTGTGGTGGCCAGAAATCAACCCTGCTCTCATTTTTCTTGTACACATGCCCAAGATCTGCACGTGACATGAGACAGTTTTTCTTTTGCTCCCTTCATTACTCTGTGATCAACACTCAGTGTCATACTCAGGTGGCCTTCTGCTGGGAGGGTTTCACCCTAGTGCTGTACTAAGAGTACTCAGATTTTGTGTTCTCTCCTCTCTCCAATGACATGCAATAAAACCTCCACCTATGAGCTACCTTTTAGAGAGAACTCGATTTATTTTGTCTGGTGAAAAGGAGGCCAAGGGGAAAATTTATCACTCTAACAATTCGTGAAAGGAGGCTGCAGCAAGGTGGGTGTCAGTCTCTGCTCTAAACTAACAAGTGATAAGACAGGAGGAATTGGCCTCAACTTGCACCAGGGAAGGTTTAGATTGGATATTAGGGAAAAATTCAATATCAAGCATTGGAACACACTGTTGAGGGAGGTGGTTAAGTCACCACTCCTGGAAGTGATTTCAAAGAAGTGCAAATGTGGCACATGGGAACATGAGTTAGTGGTAGAGCAGGCAGTGTTAGATTTAGTGTTGGACTTGATGATCTTGAAGGCATTTTCATGATTCTGTGACTGTGCAGCTATCAGGAGTCTTGGGCATTTGAATTAGACAATTCAGAATGAGACAATCAAAAGGTCAGTGCAATCAGGAATTACTACACATACAATGAACTTTTTCTTCTCCATGTATCTGCTAAACCTTGTGAAGAATGGCCCTGCATGGAGCAATTGGTACCTGCAGACCTTACTGCAATTGTTCTTCCTCGTCATGTTTCCTTTGTGAAGATCTGGCACTCCTCCACTGCTGCATCAAAGCTGATGGAGACTTTTCTTGTCACCAGGAAAACCATTGCTTCTTGCAAGCCTTGGTCATATGTACATTGGGTTTGTGGCCATCTTCACGCAGGTGGTTCTGCTGACTGACCCACCTGCACCCAAGAAAGCCATTGCTTAATCCAAGACCCCTGATGTGGCCTCTGCACATCCTGATCCAGCAGCTGCTCCCACCCCATTGTAAGTGTCAAAGAAAGGCAAAGCTTTGGAGAAGCTATGCTATGAGGAAAGACTGAAGGAGTGTAGCCTTTTCTCTCTGGAGAACAGGACTCTTGGGGAGGACCTTATCACAGTATTTTAGTAATTAAATGGGATCTACCAAGAGCACTGAGAGTTTCAGCACAAAGACCAACGTGGAGGGGCTGTCCATGAGAGTCACACACTGAGTGAAGAAGAACTGGAGATTATTTGAGTGCTGGCAGCTGAGACCACTGCTTGGATCTCGGCAGGAGCAGATGAAACCTTCATTTCTAGACATAGCAAGATGTGCACAGGGGCCAGTAAGATGAAGATCACATCTCTGTCCTGAACTGAGGGCAGGAGCATGTGTGGAACCTCACAGGCTTCATGGGACACTCTCTACCTGAGTTATTCTGAGCCCAGCAGTGCCTTGAAGAGTTCCTTTTCTGCATGCAGCAGATGATGGATATCCACGGGACTATATGGATTAGAGCATTACTCAAGGCAGAAGGCAAAGGAATTTTTATATCCTATGCCCACTGCTGCCACCCTTTGAACTTGTGATTTCATCGGTGGCCCCTGTTTGCGTAGTAGTCAAGGTTGTCTTCATCAGCTCCAAGGGGAAGAAGACAGGAAAATCCACTGCAGGGACTCCCACCCTCTGCCTTTTTTAACTTTGCACAGGAGCAGATTGGAAGAGTTGCCACAGAACAAAGGAGAACTTGGAAGCCAAGGCATGAGAGCACAACAACTTTAATGAGTCTAAGGAAGGAAAGGAGACCACCAGGGCAGTCACTAAAATGCAGTGGAGCTCCTGTGTGGTGTCCATCTGCCTGCCGGGCAGAGGGGGAGAGGGCAAAATATCCCCACTTAGACTGGCCTGGAGAGACACAGAAAACAAGTGCTAAGAAAGAGCAGATGGGAGGAAGCTCTGTCGTGTCCCCTCACGTGGCAGTCCTTGGGTGTGCAGGCAATAAGCACAAGAGCAGTGACCATTTCCTGACAATTTAGACAAAACCAAACCGCTCAGAAAGTATCCAAGTGAACATCACCTGCCCACAAAGAATGCCAACAGACTTTGATCTGAGACTTCTACCTCAGAAATCCTTCAGATGCTCATCCCAGCACTTACAGAATGAGATCTTCACCTAGGCAAGCACGTGGCAGAAGCCAGGAAATGAAAAGGCAGCAGTGCAGGAAACCAGGACACGGCTCATACCATTACCTGGAATGGCACATATTTGACATGACTTGGTCAGAAAATTATGGCTTCCACTAAGGTGCCTCTGCGCCCTAGGCAGTTCAGAACTGCTATAAAAGACAGCCCAAGTCTCTGCTCTCTCATCCACTTCTCTCACCTCCTCCTCCTCTTCAGGAATCAGGTGAGTGCAAAGCCTCTTCTCCTCCTTCTGCTGCTTCAAGAGCAGTTCTTGCCTGGCTGGAGGTCTCAGCTGAGAGGGGCTGTCATAGTGCAGGGCTGGGAGCTGCTTGTGCTGGGAGAGGGCAGGGGAGGGAAGGTCTTGTGCAGACAGAGAGAGGCTGGGACTTGGCTGAGGTGGCTCCTGGGCTTTGAGCTGGGCACTGCAGTGGGGGCCAGGAGGTGTCTTCGCTGCAGGATGCGTGGGTGCAGTGCTGTTTCTCAAGAGTCCTCACTTTGTTCTTCTCCCTTCCTTCCATCCTAGGTGCACCTGTGACCTCAAGCCATGTCCTGCTGCCAGCCCTGCAACCCCTGCGGCCAGTCCTGCGGCCCCTGCCCCCTGGGCAGCAGCTGCACTGAGTGCTGTGTCAGGCAGTGCCAGGACTCCCACGTGGCCATCCAGCCGCCTGCTGTGCTGGTGACCCTGCCTGGGCCTATCCTCAGCTCCTTCCCACAGAACACCGCTGTGGGATCCTCCAGCTCTGCTGCTGTTGGCAGCATCCTCAGCTCTCAGGGAGTGCCCATCAGCTCTGGGGGCTTTGACCTCTCCTGCATCACCAACTGCTATGGTGGCAGCAGATGCCGTCCCTGCTAAATCTGCTGGCAACCTCCTTCGGCAAAAGCTTCCAAGACCTCAGAAGACAGACCTAGGCAGGAAATAAGGATTTGGAACATTGTCTTTACAATATGAAGCCATTGTTCCCCTCCCATTTTTTCCTCTTTTCTTTGCTGTCTGTGTCTCCTCAGGCCAGTCTAATGGGGACATACGACCCTCCCTCCCTCTTTTGGGCAAGCAGATGCACACTATGCAGGAGCTCTACTGCATCTTAGTGGCTGCATCTGATGCTCTCTGTGAGCTACCTCCTTTTCTTCTTTACACTGAATAAAGTTGTTTTGCATCCAAGCCTGGGCCTCCAAGTCCTCCTTTGTTCTCTAGAAAATCTTGCAGTGATTTCTACTCAGGGAAAATAGGTGGAGGAAACAGAGAATGGGATTCCCTGCAGTGGATTTTTCTTCCTTTTCCTTGGAGCAGATGAAGTCTCCCCTGGCAACTCTGCAGCTAAAGGCCATCAGGAAGACACCAGGCAACAGTTGTGAAGGGTAACAAGAATTCCTGGGTCCAGCTGACAGCTTCATCTCTTCATTCTCCTCCACTCCCTTACCTAATCCAGTGATGCAGCCACTGGATCCTGGGCTACCACTGGAGAAATTCTGGCACCACTCCAGGAGTGAGGAAACAACTGAGATTTGGATTTTACCTGCAACTGAAACTGAGGAGCTGCTTGCTCTATAGTGAAGAATGTCACAGCCATGGAAGGGGTTGGGCAAAGGAAAAGGAGAAGGCTCTCTGGTGTTGAGGTTCCAATAGAGAAGAGCTTATTCCTAGTGAAGAGATCAGGAATAAAAAACTCTTGAATGTGACAGGGCTTGGATTTTATACAGTTACAAATCAGGGGGGCATACAAAAAAACAACCAATAGAAAGCTGACAGGGGACTAGTGAGGGGATTACATCAACAGATCAGAACCAATCAGGGTAGGTGGGAGAAGAGGGTAAGTGACATGGGCCAATGGGGCTTCGAAGTTTAGGGGAATTCCAAAGGGGTGTCGCAGTCTGGGATTGGCCCAAGGTAAGAGTGGCAGGGAAGGTTCAGGAATAAGGGGCTGGGTTGCCTTGACAGGCAGGGAAAGAGCTGGAACAAGGGGTGGGAATGGCAGGAGGGACAGCTTTGAGGGAGGGTAAAACACAGGGACAAACCAACTCATGGAGAGCAACAGAACGAACCACTTAACAAACACCATAGGGCATATCACTGTCACCCAGCAATGACGAGGAGAGGGAGATGAGAGGGAGACAGGAGCACTGACAGGAGCACCTTTCCTCAGGAAATCATGGGGCTGCTATTACTACAAGGTCTCCCAGCTTTCTGGGTATTTATGAGCAAAGATACAGCAAGAAAAGGCTCGATGGTGTCTGACAGCAGAGCAACCAGAGGATGTCTTCCTCAGCTCCAAGAGATTGTACCCTTAATAGCTGTGCCTCCATGGTGCCCCAAAATTCCATTGCCCTGTGAATGGAGAAGGGTCTCCTTATGCCCTCACCCACTTCCATGACTGAGCAACACCTTTCTCCTTTGACATTCAGAAGTGCAACTGAGGGAAGGACCACACAGACACCAGACTTGAATGCAACAGAACTTTAATGAAATGAAAGAAGGAAACAAAGCCGCTGAAAGCGGAGGTCAGCAACGCAGGCAGCACCAAGGGCAGCAGAGAGTCTGCACTCATTGGCTCTGGAATAGTTCCTGCATAATGTTGGCCTACTTGTCCCACAAAGGGGAGAAACCAAACGGTCCCTATCAAGCTGGCCTTTGGGGAACGTAGAAGCACATAGGAACCAATGCAAACATTGAAAAGGGAGAGAAAGGCAAGTTCGGTCAGCTATGGTGTAAACAGCACTCAAAACCTAGATCCTCTGCCCAACACTGTGTTCTGAGTTCCTCGGGATGTCTTGTTGGGGCTCTCTCAGCATCTTTAGCAGGGACGACATCTGTTGCCACCATAGCGCCTGGTGATGGAGGAGATGTCAAAGCCCCCAGAGCTGATGGGCACTCCGTCAGAGCTGAGGATGTTGCCAACAGCAGCAGAGGTGGAGGATCCCACCACAGTGTTCTGGGGGAAGGAGCTGAGGATAGGCCCAGGCAGGGTCACCACCACAGCAGGCGGCTCAATGACAACAGTGGAGTTTTGGCACTGCCTCACACAGGGCTCGTTGCAGCTGTTGGCCAGTGGAGTGGGGCCACAGGGCTGGCAGGGACGGCACTGGGTGTTGCAGGACATGTCTTGAGGCTGGAAATGCACCTGGCAAAGAGAACAGAGAGGAAACAGAGCACAAAGTTGGGTGGGTGGGTGAGGAGCAGCCTGGTTACCCCATCATAAAAGAGCCAAGGCCATCACAAATGGGAAGCTGGAGACTGGGCCAGGAGCCCTACAAAGAGCAACCTGGCAGTTATCTGGAAGGTAACCAGGAAGTTACCTGCCAGGCCATAAAGCAAAAGGCACCACCATCACCAGCCTCTTTCCATGCCAGCCTCCTCCCTGCTTTCCTCTCTCATGACCAGATGCTCCAATCCCCAAATATGAGAAAGCCAGCATCACTTGAGATACCCACCAAGCAGAGATCTCACTTTGGCAGAGAAAGAGAAGGGGCTTCAGACTCACCTTGTTCCCAAGCAGAAGGAAGCAAGAGAAGTGGATGAGAGAGCAGAGATTTGTGCTGCCTTTTATACCTGCCCTTGACTGCCGCAGGAGCAGGGGCAGCCTTTGCAGAGGTAACAATTTCCCAGCAAGCTCATCTTGAATGCAAACCAGCACACCTAATGATATGGGCTGTGCTTTCATTTCCTACACTGCTGCCTTTTCATTTCCAGGTTTGTTCCGTGCCCGTTCCCCAATGAAGGTTTCTTCTGATCCCTGGGATTAAAGGCCTCAGGATTTCTAAGGCAGGAATGCAGCAGTGCAGGCAGAAGACTCAGTTTATGTACTGCATGGGCCCAGACCAGGAAAGTGATGCTATCCTGATCACTCTTCTGGGGTTGTTTGAAGTGTTGTTTTCAGGAAGAAACTGCAGCACTCATAGAATCATAGAATCATATAATCACAGAATGGCTTGGTCTGGATGGAACTCGTTCATAAAGAGAAGCAGTGACACTCACTAGATGAGATTGTTCCAAGCCCCATCCAAGCTGGCCTTGAACACTTTCAGGGATGTGGCAGCCTCAGCTTCTATGTGAAGTTCCATTGCCTCACCAACCTTTTGAGTGAGGAATTTGTTCCTAACATCAAATCTACATCTTTCCTCTTTTAGTTTAAACCATTCCACTTTTTTTCTATCAGTATCTGCTTGTGGAAAAAGTCAGCATCCATCTTTTTGTAAGCTCCCTTCACACACTGTCTGGCCTCAATGAGGTCTCCTCAAAGCCTTCTCTTCTCCATGCAGAACAGCCGCAAATCTCTCAGCCTGTCTTCAGAGCAGAGTTGCTCCAGCCCTCTGAGCATCTCTGTGGCCTCCTTTGGACCTGCTCTAACAGGTCTATGTCTTTCTCATGCTGAAGATTCCATGTCTGAACCCATGTGGGGCTTCACAAGATCAGAGCAGATGAGGAGAATCACTGCCCTCACCCTGCCAGTCAGGTCTTTTGTGATGCAGCCCAGGATGGCTTTCTGGACTGCAAGTGCCAACTGTTGGCTCACGTCCAGGTTTTCATCCACAAGAACTCCCAATTCCTTCTTCACAGGTCTGCTCTCAATGGGTTCATCTCCCAGTCTGTCCTCATGCCTGGGATTTCCTAATGCAGGTGCTGAACCCTGCACTTGAACTTCTTAAACTTCATCAGGTTCTCATGGGCCCACTTCTCAAGTTTCTGCAGGTCTCCTTGGATGAAAATCTCCTCCTGGATGGAAATCTCCTTCTGTAGTGTCAGCTCAGCTTTGTGTCATCTGCAAACATGCCAAGGGGACACAAAATCTAATATCCCTGTGATTGAAAAAGATAATAAAAAGCACCAGTCCCAAGACAGAGCCTTGAGACATGTCCCTGTTCCCCTACCTCCATGTGGTCATAGAGCCACAGACTAAAGCTTTGTCCATCCAGCCATTTTCACAGTCACAATAGTACACCCTTCAAATCCACATGTATTTGGGTTTGCATGGCCTGGTTTTGGTGGCAGGAGGGCTACAGGGGTAGCTTCTGTGGAAATTTGCTGGAAGCTTCCTCAGTGTCCAGCAGAGCCAAAGCCAGCTGGCTCCAAGACAGACCCACCGTTGGGCTCATCAGAAATGGAAGTGATGCCACAGGAATAACACATTAAAAAAGGAAAAAAAAATATTGCATGGGTGTAATTGGGGCTAGAGAAAAGCAGAGTGAGAATATGTGAGAGAAACAGCTCTGCAGACACCAGTGGAAAAGGAGGAGCAGGAGCTGCTCCAGGCTCCAGAGCTGAGATGGTGAAGACCACGGTGAGGCAGCTGTGCTCCTGCAGCCCACAGAGGGCATGGGAGTGCAGAGATGCACCTGCAGACCCTGGAGGAGCCAACACCAGAGCAGGTGAATGCCTGAGAGGAGGCCATGGCCCTGAGAGAACCCTGTGCTGGAGCAGAGTCCTGGCAGGGACCTGTGAAGAGAGGAACCCATGCTGGAGCAGGTTTGCTGGAATGACTTTGTGAGGATTCCTGAAGGACTGACCCCATGGAAGGGTGCCCCACATTGTAGCAGTTCTTGGGGAGCCACAGCCTGTGGGATATGGTTTCTAGGCTCCTTCTCATTTTGGAGAAGTTCATGGAGAACTTTTCCCATGGAAGGGACTCCACCCTGGAGCAGGGAAAGGACTCCCACTCCTCTCCTTGAGCAGCAGCAGGAAAAACCTGTGATGAATTGACCATGACCCCCATTCCTGTCTCCCTGCTCTGCTGAGGGGGAGGAGGAGATAAAGCTGGGAAGAAGGGGGAGGTAGGAGGAAGATGTTCAGGTTTTTGGGTTATTTTTATAAGACTTATTTTACTTCTCATTATCCCGCTCTGCTTTTATTGGTAATAAATTCAATTAATATGCGTTAGTTGAGTCAGTTGTGCCTGTGACAGTATTTGGTGAGAGGTCTCTTCTGGTTCTTATCTCAAGTCATGAACCATTGTTATATTTTCTCTTCCCTGTCCACTTGTAGAGGAGAGTGACAGAGTGGCTTTGGTGGGTGCCTGGCAACCAGCCAGGCTCAACCCACTACACCAATCTCTCCAATTTGGAGATAAGGATTTTGTGTGGGCTGTGTTGAAGGCCTGACAGAAGTTTAGGAAGATGGCACAGTCTTCCCTTGCTGAGTGTTTCAGTCACTCCATCCTTGAAGGCCACCAGATTGCTCAGACATGACTTGCCCTAAGAGCAGCCTTGCTGTCTGTTTTGGATCACCTCCTTGTCTGAGTATGACTTACAGCTGCTTTCATGAGGATCTGTTCCATGATCTCCCCAGGCATAGAGGTGAGGTGTACTAGTCTGTGATTCCCTGGGTCCTTTGTATTGCCTCTTTAAAAATCCAGTCTGCTGCTGGATGCCCAAGGATTCCTGTGCATGAGGATGGGCCATGTCCATCCCTATCCCTCCTTCCTCAGCTCACCCTGATGGTTTTTTGTTGTTGTCTCCCCATGTGTGTGCACTCGCCTGCAGGCTCTGATCCCATCCTACCTAACTCTGCCCTCAGGAAAAACTTCTGGCTTGTTTTGACTTGTCCACTCTCTGAGCAGTCTGTGAGCACACAAACAATGCTGGGAGCTTGCCTGGGGCCTTGCCCTTCCCCACAAGGTTCCAGCCCTGCTGTGCCTGTCTCCTGGTGTCCTCAGCAGAGTTCACTGCAGGGTGTGTTCCTCCTACATGTGTTCATGTCTTTGGTGCTCTTGTGTGCAACCAGACTAATGTGAATGCAGCACAGGTGCATATTTGACAGGTGTATATGAACTCATGTCCTTTTGCGTCTCCTCACGAATAGATTGTGCTGCTCATGGCAGGGACATTCTCCACAGCTCTGTGCAAGAGCTCTGCAAAGCTGCAGGAGCTCAAGTGCAGCTGAAAGGTAATGGCATCAACCTCTTGGAAATCTGTCCAAAAAGAGGCACTGTAATCAATCAATTTCCTGAACTTTGCTTGTCCTGATCCTTCAGAGCTCATACTCCACTGATAGTGATGCCAAGCCCCAACAAGGACCACCAATTTAGATCCTTAATTTAGTTGAGTGTAAAAGGATTGGGACTGCCTCAGCATGATGAGCAGCCCCTCTCTGCCTGCCTCACCAGGTCAGGACACAGCTGCTAGACAGTTCAAAAGGATGGGGCTTGGTTTATCCTGGAGAAAGAATAAGGAATCCTATTTACGCTCCTTGTTCAGACAGTGTCCAAATGGATCTGCTTCCAGTGAATTGTTGGTGCTTCCAGGTGTGGGACACAACCTTCCTTCATGCCTGAGCCAATGTCAAATGTATTGATCTAGATCATCAGCCTGGAGCTGTGTCAGGCTGAGATCTTGGCCCAAATAGGCACTGAATTAAAAAAATCACAGTAAATGTTATTGGTGTGCACTGGATAGAAGGACAAACACTGTGTGTTGCACAGGGGAAGCCAATGAACAGGGTTATTGGGCAGATGGGGTGCCCCAGCAGTCACTCTGTGGTGCAGATGTAACAGTGTCCCCAGGTAGGAGTGCTGCTTGTGCCCTGGGTCTACCTGTGGAGCAGAGAGAGAGAGTGGGAGACTCCAAGGGTGCCAGGCAGAGCAAGGAGCTGGATCACCCCTATGTTAGCAATTTACCCAGTGACAGCAGTGCAGGTCTTGTGGGTGAAAAAACGAGGCTGGGCATCACAAAAGCATTGGCCAAAGAGATGGAGGAGTGCAGAGACTCTTCCCTAAATCTCCAGCAGGAAAGTGTTCAGGGAACTTTTCCTGTTGGTCCCTTCATGCTTCAGCTGCTATTTGAGCTTAGCTTTGCCTTCATCATCTCCTTCCTTACATTCAGGGAGCTGTAGACATCTGAGATGTCCCAACCTTTTCATCACTCACTTAATCTGAGGGTAGGAGTCAAAAAAGAAATTTTGGAGAATCACAGGAAAAAAAAAAAACACAACTAAATGTCTACATTAATAGTGAAGCCAGATGTTCTTCACAGAAACTCAGAGGTTACTGCCATGACCACATAATGGAAAGATTGAAGAATGTTGTACATTAGTAGGCCAAACTTTCTCTGGGGGCACTCTGTGCCATGCTGTCCTCAGTCCTGTTACCCACTGTATATAAACAGTGAAGGGATGGCTAAAATGTGAGGATTTCCAACAGGTATGCACAGGGTAGATTCATTAGAACTGCAGCCTGCAGAACTTGGTTTACACAGTCCCCCATCAACCTGATTGCCAAGAGAGATGTGTTCAGTGCTCTGATACCTCTGTCTTCCTGACTGACTGTTGGTCAAACAGGCAAGAGGAGGAAATGCCATCAAAGGACTTTAAAACCTCACTTTCTAAAAGAAAAGGACACCTGTCTGCATTCCAGACTCCCAGATGAGAAAAGGATAATTTACACCATCTCCATCATGGATGGATGGATGGATGGATTAATGGATTCTGTTTATCCAGCCCTTCCTGATTGAGGCCTCTGATGTGCTTTTGATCAAAACAATGCTCAAGAGCATCAGACTAAGCAAGGGGGACATTTGTGAACAAAACTTGTCTTCCACAAACAGCTCACAGATACTGCTGAGTGTGTCCAGAATGACTTTGCACAGAGTTTTTCTGGAACAGCACTGATCCAGAGAAGGACCTTACACAGCAGGGCCTGTGAGGCCCTGAGCCTGAGCAGAGCTACTCCATCTGTGGTTGGGAGTGACAAGGTACCCCCCAGCAGTGAAGGGTCTGTGGGCTTCCATTACTGTCCTTGGACTGCCCTGGCCCATGAGGGATCACAGGGACTCCAGTGTGAGGCCCAGGGTTGTTAATCCCAGAGCTGACTTGTGAGTGGTGCCAGGCCTGCATGCCTGCCAAAACCTGGGCCCTCCCATGGGCCTTATGTGTGGTGGTAGGGCTGAAATGAGGAACTGATCCCAGCTGCCCATTTGTGCTGGCCATGGTCTGAGACTGGGCAGTGGAGTGAAGATGGAGATGAGGCCTGAGGCCATTCCACACAACCACACTTCTGACATCCTTTGGGAACATTTTCTGTCTACCCCAGCACAGCACCGACCAGAGCAAGAGGTGCTGCATTCCCATGATCCTGCAGGTTGGTTTGTTTCCAGGACCTCCCATGAAATTCTAGTTGTTACATGAGGTTTTTGCAGGAGATGTTGAGGGTATATCTGGGCAAAGACACTGAAGGGAACGGGCTGATCACCTTTCAGCTGGGGATGTTTTGCATCCTGCCCCAGAATTCTTCCCTTCCCTCTGAGTGTATCCCAACTTCACATTTTTCTGAATGAAGGATCTCACCACATTGTCACCTTTTCCCCTGCCAGGATCAACACCATTTTACCCAGGCAGCTTGCAAGGGCATATGGGGAGTGAAGGAAAACCTGGAGAACCAGCCTGAGATGCAAAAATCTTTATTGAGTTTAAAGAAGGAGTCAAGGTTTTTACAAGCACAGGCCCTCAGTGCAGGGTTCTGGAGGGACAAGCAGGACACTTCACCTCTTGGCCATGGTGAAGTCCATGCAGGGCATCCATTTGCCTTGCCTGTAGAGTGCAGGCTGGCTTGGAGGATCCTTCCAGCCGAGGGGAGCAGAAGGACACAATGAAAATAGAAACAAGGAGATATGTAGGAAAGACATAGGGCTTTTGAAGTGCCTGAGCTGGGCCCTTCTTTCCAGCATATTCAGGAGGAACTAAAGATGGTCAGTTCCTCTGAAAGAAATGACCTGAAGATTCTTCCTTTGTCCACCACCATGCCTGGAGATCCTGGGGATATTTCCCAAGACCAGCACCATTAGCAGGGGAGGCCCCTCCTTCCACCGTAGCGCCTGGTGATGGAGGAGATGTCAAAGCCCCCGGAATTGATGGGCACTCCCTCAGAGCTGAGGATGTTGCCAACAGCAGCAGAGGTGGAGGATCCCACCACGGTGTTCTGGGGGAAGGAGCTGAGGATAGGCCCAGGCAGGGTCACCACCACAGCAGGCGGCTGAATGACCACAGTGGAGTCCTGGCACTGCCTGACACAGCACTCGTTGCAGCTGTTGGCCAGTGGAGTGGGGCCACAGGGCTGGCAGGGACGGCACTGGGTGTTGCAGGACATGTCTTGAGGCTGGAAATGCACCTGGTAGAGAGAGCAGAGAAGAAACAGAGCACAAAGTTGGGTGGGTGGGTGAGGAGCAGCCTGGTTACCCCATCATAAAAGAGCCAAGGCCATCACAAATGGGAAGCTGGAGACTGGGCCAGGAGCCCTACAAAGAGCAACCTGGCTCAGGAAGTTATCTGCCAGGCCATAAAGCAAAAGGCACCACCATCACCAGCCTCTCTCTATGTCAGCCTCCTCCCTGCTTTCCTCTCTCATGACCAGATGCTCCAATCCCCAAATATGAGAAAGCCAGCATCACTTGAGATACCCACCAAGCAGAGATCTCACTTTGGCAGAGAAAGAGAAGGGGCTTCAGACTCACCTTGTTCCCAAGCAGAAGGAAGCAGGAGAAGTGGATGAGAGAGCAGAGATTTGTGCTGCCTTTTATACCTGCCCTTCTCTGCCGCAGGAGCAGGGGCAGCCTTTGCAGAGGTAACAATTTCCCAGCAAGCTCATCTTGAATGCAAACCAGCACACCTAATGATATGGGCTGTGCTTTCATTCCCTACACTGCTGCCTTTTCATTTCCAGGTTTGTTCCGTGCCCGTTCCCCAGTGAAGGTTTCTTCTGATCCCTGGGATTAAAGGCCTCAGGATTTCTAAGGCAGGAATGCAGCAGTGCAGGCGAAGACTCAGTTTATGTACTGCATGGGTCCAGGCTGGGCAAGTGATAGTACAGTCTGGATAACTCTGGTGGGTCTGTTTGAGTTCCAGCAATCCTCAGCTGCCTTCCCAAGGACTCCTGTGCATGAGGATATGTCCTATCCTTCTCTTTCTCTCCCTATGGTCACCTCTTCCTTCTCTGTGTCCATGGACTCTGCAACTGGTTTTCACCCCAGTGTGCCTAACTCTGCTCTCAGGAGAAAATTCTGGCTTGTTTTAACTCATGGTCTCTTTGTGCAGCCCAGAAAATGTCATGGGCATGTCTGGCTCCTTGTCCTTCCTCACAATGCTCCAACCTGCTGCAGTTGTCCCCAGGTGTCCTCAGCAGAGCCCACACTGTGTTGTGCTCCTACAACCTAGACTTCATCAGGACAGAGACGTGGGCCCATGAAATCCTCATGAAGCTCAAAAAGGCCAGGGGTAAGGTCCTGAATTTGACTTGGGTCACCCCCAAGGATGGACAGAGACTAGGTAAGGAGTAAACTGAGAGCAGCCCAGCCAAGAAGGACTTGGGTGTGCTGGTGAATGAGAGGCTGGACATGACCTGCAACGTTCACATGCAGCCCTGGAATTGCATCCCAGAATTGTATTGCCTCAGAAGAAGATTTACTGCCAGCTGTAGAGAAGTGGTTCTCCCCCAGTTTTCTGCTCTTGTGAGACCCCAGCTGGAGTGTTGTGTCCAGTTCTGGGGTCCCCAATGTGAAGGTGCTGAAATAAGTCTAGAAGAGGTCACAAGGTTGCTCAGAGGGCTGCAGCCCTTCTGCCATGGAAACAGGGCTGGGAGACATGAATGTATTTAGGCTGAAGATGGTTTTGGGGATACCTTAAATCACATTCCAATGCCCAAAGAGGATACAAGAGAGATGAACTCTCTCTTTTTTTACAAGGGCATGCACAAGGGGGAATGGCTTCCCACCAAAACAGGATAGATTTGTACTAGTTGCTAAGAAAAAATTCTTCCCTCTGAGAGTGGTGAGGCCCTGCACATGTTGTTTAGAGAAGATCTGGCTGCCCCATCTCTGGAAGTGGATGCTGTGGTGAAGCACATATTCATGTGATTTTCACAGTTGCTTCTAGATCCAGGGATTTTGATGATAAAAACTGTCCAATAAACCTGACTTGGGGCAAACCTATTGGAGGCTACACCATTAACAAGCCAAACAAGCCTTGTCAATGTTCTCTGCTTACAATAACACTGCAATTCTCAGAGCAAGTAGCCTGCTGGCTATTCTTCCTGTTTCATCTCCATGGGCCTCCACTGATGGCCACAGCTGGAGAATGAGGCCTTTGGTAGGAAGCACAATTGCTCTTATGGTTTTGACATTGTGGCAGAAGCCCAGGTTGGGAAGGGGTCTTCCTTACCCTGCATCAGCAAGTGGAAAACAGCCACCAGCCAGGCTCTGGACAAGATTCTTCCTGCACTCATCCACTGCCAGAGAGTGGTCCCACTCTTTTTTATGTCTCTGCTTTTCAGGGAAATCACCAGTGCTGGAGGGAGCTCCCATGTTCCTGAGTCTGTGCCAGTTTCTCTGTCCCAGCAGCTGGTAACATCTCAGTGACCTTCTCTCCTCCCATGAGCTGAAGGAATGATTTGGGGACCTATTTTTGGGCAACCCCACTACAGCACTTCTTATGGAAACTCAGCTCAAGGGTGCTGAGTTTCCAGATGGATCCCACCCTTTGAATTTGAATCTGTTGCTCATGGGGCATCATCCCCTTTGCCCAAGAAACCTCAGGGTACTCATTTGTGTTTCTGCTGCAGTTCCAGCATAGCCTGCCTCTCCCAAGTGACAAGGATCTGTTCTGACAGCCCTGTGTGAGGCTTTGAATGCTGCTGTTTATCTCAGAGGGTTCTAAGCAGTGTTGATGAGGAATTCACAGCAGGTCTCAGTGTCCTGCACTCTGCTATGTATTGGATGTCTTGGACATTTCAGATCCTGCTGTTTGTTGCTTTCCAGGACTGTAGAGGGACTCAACACTCCAAACACACAATTCTTTCCAAAATACATCATTCCTAGGTAGAAATGACAAGCAGTGGTGTCTGTCTGAGGATAAACCCAGTCTCAGACTCTTTCTGCTGTCCCAGGCATTTTCCCAAATGCCATTGAAAAAGAGCACAGCAGACAAAGGGTGGGAATCAGCCTGTCCCTTGGGCAGTGATGCCTGGGCCTGGACTGAGTGCCAAGTGCCCAGGTGGATGCAGGAGGTTTGTGAATCTCCCCCAGAAGTGCCATTGCTTCCAGAAGGGAGGAGTAAATGTTCAGTTCAGACTCAATCATCTCAATTGGAGAGCTCTATGCTCAGGTGAAATTTACCCTACACTTTCCATAAAGGTGTGTTTACCATGATGAAGAGGTGATCCCTCCTCATTATGAAGTGGTTACATGGACTATCCTCACTGTCAGTGTGCCAAAAGAAAAGCTTTGAGAACATGGTTAATCTGTTCTGAAATGAAAATCGGGAGGGGAAAAGCAAGTGCTGTTTGGAAGTGCTAATGTCCTCCCAATGAGCGTAAAGGGAGGCTTGCTTCCCAGCCAGCCTTCCACAGCTCTGCACTTTGAGTGCTTTGCCAATCACATTAAAGTTTTTCCACAACAAAGCCCAAAATGGGTGGAACAATGTACTGCTAAAAATTATGTGGGGTTTTAGATGTGGAAATGCCCTGACACATCTAGAATGAAGCACAGTTTTGCATAATTTTAATTAAAAATAAGAGAGTAGATTCAGATACTAAGGAGAGGAAAGAAGAGGAATTATGCAAATTTTGTTTGCAGTCTTATGCTAGGAAAAAATGGCTATAAGTAGAGATATCAGACCTTGCCAAATTTTATCTTGAATTAGAGTATGATTTATGATGAAATAGCTACAAGAATATGATGAAATAGCTACAAGAATGTGGCATAGATACATCACAAAACATCAGGCTAAATGGGGAAAAACATGTCTACTTCCTAAAGCAATGTTTCCTAAAGTTCCTGGGATTTCTTTAGGAGATTCATGCAAACCCTGACAAAATTGAGCACCTGGCAAACTGGGGTAGAAACCTGTGGGAGTACCACTCCTCCAGCTGTTTTTATTTGTGGCCCTTTCCAAGCATAGCACTTTAAAGGGCTGGGAGGCATTCTGAATTATCTGGGTATGAACAGAGGGTGGTGAGAGAGCAGAACTGAGGCTCAGCCCAGCCAGAGATGGCTGTAAGGTGATATGAGCTCATATGTGGCTTCTCAGTGCCTGGGATGCCCACTCAAACCTACACTTCAGAGGGGATCTTCTGCAGGGCAGAAGTCATGGGAGGGCAGGGATGAATCTGTTTGTTCTACTGATGCCCTGTGAAAAAAGTCACTTCACTTTTTCTGGAAAGCTCGTCCCAGAGCGAGCTTCACCTCTTTGTTTCTGAGTGTGTAAATGAAGGGGTTCAGCAAAGGAGTTACCACTGTGTTAAAGGTATTCACGATTTTGTTCACATCCAGGGAGTTCTGGGCTGATGGTTTGACGTACAGGAACATGGTGGAGCCATACCAGATGGTGACAACACTGAGATGGGCAGAGCAGGTGGAAAATGCCTTTTTCCGGCCATGGCCTGACTGGATCCTCAGGATGGAGGAGATGATGTACATGTAGGAGACCAAGGTGACCACACAGGAGGCCACCACAACAATTATGGAGACCAGGAAGGTTGCCAGCTCCACAGGCCATGTGTCACTGCAGGAGAGGGCAAGGCAGGAATCTATATCACATAGAAAATGATTGATGACATCTGGCCCACAGAAAGTCAGCCTGGATGTCAGAAAGGCCAGCACGGAAATGGCCAAAAATCCTCCCAGCCAGGAGCTGAGTGCCAGCCGGACAGAGAGGACGCTGCTCATGAGGGAGCTGTACCTCAGGGGGCAGCAAATGGCCAGGTAGCGGTCATAAGCCATGACAGACAGGAGAAAACACTCAGCGGAGCCTAGAGAGAGAAGAAAGAACAACTGGAGGATACAGACACTGAAGGAGATGGTCTGGCTAGTCCCCAGCATGACTCCTATGGCTTTGGGAACAACACCCGTAGTGTACCAGATCTCCAGGAAGGAGAGATTGCAGAGGAAAAAGTACATTGGGGTGTGTAGGTTGCTGCTTCTCCATACAAGGGCAATGATGGATGCATTACCTATCACTGTCAGGGTGTACATCAGTGCAAACACCACCACAAAGGAGACTCGGAATTGCCATGTCCCTGGGAAGCCAAGAAGGATGAATTCTTTTACGCTTGTCCTATTTGCCATGTCCTTCCAAGTGTTGAGGTCTGTCTGCAAAGAAAGAAAAGTTTCTGTTAAAGTTTGCATGCTGCAAGCAGTGAAAAAAAAAATCACCATCCCCAAAAAAGCAGTTGGTGCACAGCATGGGAAAATGGCACTTTTCTTATGTTAAAATTTTTCTAGAAATCCTCCCCTGATGAAACACAACTAGATCTAACCCTGAAAATTAGGAGTACACCAACAAATGAACGCTTGGAGAAGTGTTCATCAGATTGTGCATCTCCTTTACAGCATGGGGAATGTAGTCACTTCTGTGAGATGAAAATCCCACTTAGGAAAAGATGGACACCAGGCTGAGGCACTCCAGCTATGGAAAAATCTCTTACAAGTAGAAAGGAAAAAGGCAGGAAAAGCTGTCTACAAATAGGAAGGCAATAACATAACTTGTAGTCTCCAAGGCAGGCAATACTGAGGTGTAGTTTCATCAAATGAGAAATACAAATACTGTCATGATAATGTGACACTGCAAGAGATTTTCCACCTCTTCTATGTCAGTTTATTACAAGGGATTGAGATTGAAATGCAGCCACGCAGGGCAGCAGGTTGTATGCCAGTCACTACTCAAGGTCTCCTATATTTGCTTTCTTCTAAGCCTCAGAACAGGAAGCGCTTGCAAATACCTCCATTTCCCTGACTGATGCCTGCTTCTCAGCATAGCTACCAGGGGTGTGATCCACCTCTTTGCAATTTTGCCATTTCAGAGTCAGAGGAAGGATTTCTGTTGACTAAGCTGAAATATCTCTGGTGAAATAAAATACTCCTATCTCAGCTCCTCAGCTTACCCCCCTTATTTCTTCACAGACAGAGAAAAACCATGAGGGAGACATGGCTCATTTTGTCTTAAAAACATGGCTAAAAGCTCTCAAGGAGTGCCAGGTTGTCTCTGAGGTCTAAGGCAGCAGTCTAGTAAGCACCTGGGTGTTAGACATCTCAACTCAGTGACTGAAGGCAAAATCCTCTGAGTTGAATCCCATTAAATGTAGCTCTGCTGAACTGTTTTTGCAGACAAGGGAAAATTCTTGATTAGTTCTCTAGAGAGAACATATTTTCAGGTGGATGTGGAAGACAGTTGCACTAAATCGCCAACTGAATCATCCCTTTCTCTCCTGTCTTCCTCCCCAGCAATATATACTAAAAATCTCATCTACTTAAAGATTAAAGAAATCTCCCTTAAACCAGCTCTCCTTAAACATGCAAGGCATTGGAAATCTGTGCTACACGTCTTGGGCCGGCTTCACTCACCAGATTTGCCAGTGGAAATGATCCAAATGACATTTTTTCATGCACCATCCTCCCAAGGTAGCCATGGTCCCCTTGGCTAATGGAGAGCATTGGAAAGATTTATTGTAGATTTATTGTGGGGAGCTCTGGATTCAGGTGAAGGTGTGTGGATGAGCAGCTCTCCCCTTGCTGACTCACTTCAAGCTGATGGCAACTGCCTGACCTGGTTTCCTCTCCATCCAGGAGAATCTGACAGCTTCCACTCCTGATCTTCTCCCTCTCACTGCCACCACTGTAATTCCACTGAAGGAAGCTCTGTGTGCACACACACAAAGTGTAAACTCTCTTCATATAATGAGATCATGCACCAGAGAGTCGCCAGCATCATTAGCATAAGAACATCCCCACACCCACCTCATTAACAAAATGAAGCTCCAGCTGGCCACACCTTGGAGACTGTTTTCTGTTTTCCCTCTGGTGTGCTCCAGGGAATTTGACCTCTGGGAGGCCCTATGGGCTTGTCAGAGATGAATGGTACTCTCTCTTCACACAGGCCAATTAAAGAACAGCAATGCAATTCCCTAAGTGGCTGCTAGGCTGGGTGTTTGCCTCCTAGCTGCAGCTGTGGTATGAGAACCTTGTCAGGAACTCAGCTGGCATGGAGATGTCTGAAATAGTCATGTTCCTTGTCAGGAACTCAGCTGGCATGGGGATGTCTGAAATAGTCATGTTCCTTGTCAGGAACTCAGCTGGCATGGGGATGTCTGAAATAGTCATGTTCCAAGAGACTGGGGTCAAGCTTTTGGTGCTGGTACTCAGGGGGTCATGAAACCTCCAGGGTGAGAAGTAACTAAAGGCAACTATGGGCACATGAATAGAGAGACAGTAAAGGACTCACCTGCCTCATTTCAGAACCTTTAAATGCAGCTAAGGTCTCTGTCTTCAGCTTTAACTGAAGAACTAAGTTCAAAATCCGACAAGGTATTAGAAGAGGAAACTTTATTTCCCCTGACTCTAGAAAAGGTGTCTTCTATTGAGGTACTCGTCTTTGCTCCATTCATCATCAGCTGAGAGAAATAGGCACTCTCAAGCCTCAGTTCAACCCTTACAAAAAATGATCTCACAGATCAGGTAATACAGGCCTTACAGACACCTATTTTTCTTCTGTTGACACTCAAGATAAACTAGTTAGCTGGCTTAGACCACACACTTCTCATCCTCTAGACATCTTGAGTTAGATTGACCTCCAGAGAGAGTCTGTCTGCACTGTCCAGGACCACCACACAGGTGTTGGACTTGGCAGAGACTTTTCTGCAAGTCCTGTGTCCCAGGCTTCAGTGTGGTTGAGAGAAAACTGATCTGCACTTGGTTTGAGCTGGAGATGCAGCTAATGGGAGCAAAGTTCTCAGCTTGAACCTATTTGCTGACCAGGAAGCCATCTCCTGCTATTTATCTGTCCTACCCATGGAAATGGATGTGGGGTTTAGCCATGGGATAGAGGTGGTGGAGCCTGTGGGTTCACCTGTGATCGCTTAATGAAGCAAGCCATGCACACATACCAGGAAGGCAGGCCCTGCTGTGAGCTTGTCCTACTTGGGGAGTTCAGAGGGGCCACCATTGGTCAGCTGCAGGATTTGTGTCTCCAGAAAGATGATTCTTGCCATTTCCTGGCACACCTGCTTTGCTTTGGGATGGGGTAAGTCCCCTGGCTGACCTGATGTCCCATCACTGACTGTGGGAAGAGTTTACAGAGTCTCCTGAAGGTGGGTTGTACTCCCCATCTGCAGGACATGCTCTGAGACCAAGGAGTCATATCTGAGCAGAAATGTTGGGAGGTTGAGCCTGATCCCTGCTGTCTGTGGAGAAGTCACGGATGTCTCCCTCATCTCCAAGGGACAGTGCCTGAATGGGCCCCATTTCTGTGTTTCCCACCCTTCCCTTCCTCTGGGAATAATCAGTGGCCTACTTGTGTCCCCACCTTTTCCTCCACCACCCATGGCAACACCTTTTGGTCTCAGCAACTAGAGACAAGGATACCAACAAAGGATTACATGGAGGCTGAGTATGAGATGCAGAAAGCTTTATTGTCATTGAAGTGGGAAATTAGTTCCCTTATAGAGAAGGCTACTGGTGGTGGTGGTGAGAGACCACATGAAACTGCAGCAAGTCTGGGCCCACTTTGGCACAGACACTGGAGAGCCACTGGAGAGCCAAGGGGACATCCATCTGCCTGCCCTACAGCAGGGCAGAGGTTAGCAGATCCCCCAGAGAGGCTCTGAAAATCTTACAGTCCAGAAGTATGGAAGACAAAAGAGAGGTGGAAGAGAAAGGCAGCAAAAGCAAACACTGGCCATGGTTTCAGAGAGCCCCACCAGCCCTTCTTCAGAAGGGCAGCGTTGGTTGCTCAGCACCTCTGAATCTGATGGCCAGGAGCTCTGTCCTCAGTCCAGCATCAGCTTCTGGGTTCCTGGGGTTCCTCGTGAGGGCTGCACCAGTGGCTTTAGCAGGGACGGCATCTGCTGCCACCATAGCGGTTGGTGATGCAGGAGAGGTCGAAACCCCCAGAATTGATGGGCACTCCCTCAGAGCTGAGGATGTTGCCAACAGCAGCAGAGCTGGAGGATCCCACCACGGTGTTCTGTGGGAAGGAGCTGAGGATGGGCCCAGGCAGGGTCACCACCACGGGCGAGGGCTGGATGAACACGGTGGAGTCCTGGCACTGCCTGACACAGGGCTCATTGCAGCTGCTGCCCAGCGGGGTGGGCCCACAGGGCTGGCAGGGCTGGCACCGGGGGTAGCAGGACATGGCTTGGGGCTGCAGATGCACCTGGAAGAGAGGTAAGTGAAGGAAGCAAAGCACAGGCATGTGTGAGGAGCCATCAGCCATGAATCCATCATCCCACTGCAAGAATTGCAATGGTACCTGCTTAAACCAGAAGGGACAAACTGGGTAGTGAGAGAAAGGGGTTTTCAGCCTCATCCTGACACAGTACTGCAAAGTCTGGCATTATTTCTTCAATAAAGAGCTCCCTCAGCCAAATCCTGACACTAAGTTAGAACTTAGTTATTCTCTGACCCCTCAGCAGCAGCAGCACTAAAACCTCTCACAAGTATAGGAACATGCATCTGCTTCCCAAGAAAAGGACAGGGGAAAGGGCTTTGGACTCACCTGGATCCCAAGGAGAAGGAGGCAGGAGAAGTGGATGAGAGAGTGTGAATTCAGGCTGGCTTTTATAGTCACTCTGAGTTGCCCCAGGCCCAGAGGTGGCTTCTATGAAAGTGATAATTTCTTAAGGTGCTCATGATGTATGGAAAACATCCCAGCTAATGACATGGGCTGAGTGCTTGTTTTCCGTGTTGCCACCTTTTCATTTCCTGGCTTATTCATAGACATTTCTTCATGGAGGCTTCTTCTGAGTGCTGAGATTGAGACGCCTCAGGATTTCCAGGGCAGGAATGTGTCAGTGTCTGCAGAATCCTCCACTCAAGTGCTGGATGGGGGCATGCAGGGAAATGAAATTGGCCTGGAGCTCACTGGTGGTGTTGCCTGTGGCCTTGTTGATTGCAAGGGGTGAAGCTGCTCCCAGGGCTTCAAGCCTTGACTGGTCACCCAAAGATATGCCATGATATCATTGCAAAATGGTATACCATGTCTCTTTCCTCCATTCCTCTCAATTTACTCGGGTGTTTGTTTGCATTCAGAATCTCGGGCATTTGGCCTGCACTTTTGGGTTTCATTGTCTTGCTCCTTAAGCTCTCCTTCTGTCCTCCCAAGGAGGGAAAATCGTCAAGTCACGTGGGCAATGTGAGAGAGTGCTTGGGTCACCCTCAACAATAAGAAGGGCTTTCCTGTGTTTCACACCAGTGTTCCAGCCTGTGCTTGTTTCCTATCCCATCACTGGGCCCCTCAGAGAAGTGTCTGGCTCTGTTTGCCTTGCACCCTCTGGATTTGGGCTGCATGGCAAGGTTTTGGTTGTGAGGGAGCCAACACCAGATGGATTTAAGACTTATGCACCACTGACCAAGGCTGAGCTCATCAGTGATGGTGGAAGCATCTCTGAAATAACACGTTTAGGAAGGGAGAAAGAACCTATTGTGGAAGCCAGAAGAGAGGGGAGGGAAGAGGTGAGAGAAACAACCCTCAGTGAAGGATCTCAGTGAAGAGGGCAGGTAGGTGCTCCAGGTGATCCCATGCTGGGTCAGGCTCCTGTCATGAGCTGTGTCCATATGAGCGACAGGCCAGGTTTGCAAGCAGGACTTGTAAAGAACTGTAGCCCATGTGAAAAATTCACATTGGAGAAGTTTTGGGAGTGCTGTCTCCCATGGGGCATAGGGCAAGTATGTGAGAGTTCCTTCTCCTAAGCACAAAAGAGCCGCAGAGACATGTTGAACTGACCACAACTCCAAATCCCTATCATTTGGAAAAGAGAAAATTAGCAGTGAAGTTGAGCTGAAGAAGAAGGGAGCAGTGGAGGGGAAGGTGATTTTGGATTTTAGGTTTATTTCTCATTACCCTATGCTGACTGGATTGCAATAAGTCAAATTAATTTCCCCGATCTGAGTTGGGTTTTCCCATGAGGGTAATTGATGAGTGATCTTTCCTGTCCTAATCTAGACCCAGAAGCCTCTTGTATTTTCTCTCTTCTGTCCAGCTGAAGAGAGAGAGAGATGGAACAGAACCATCATAGAAGACCACTGGAATCAGCTGGGTGGTCCATTGAGGTGAGATCTCCTTTTAGAGAAAGCAGGGAAGGAAAAAGGGTTTCAGACTGACCTGATTCCCAAGGAGATGGAGGCAAGAGAAGGGGATGAGAGAGAAAAGAGTTGGGCTGGCTTTCACCATGGACCTTTACTGACTCAGGCTGCCAGAGGTATCCCTTCTGGAGGTGATCATTTTCTGACAAATTCATCTTGAATGCAAACCATCTCATTTAATGCTATGAGCTGTGGTTTGGCTTCTTAAATTGCTGTGTTTTCACTTCCTGCTTTATTTCTGGCACATTCCTCAATGAAGGCATCTTTTGCATGACAAGATGAGAGGCCCAAGCATTTCTGCATCAAAACACATCAGCGTCAGCACAGGACTCATGCCACACGCTGCAGGAGTCCATTAAAAGTAAATTATGTCAGTCTGGGTCACTCCATTGGGATCTCAGGGGCCTTGGTCTCAAAGAAGTGGCCTTGTTGCTGGGTTTGACTGTATCCCCCCAAACACAGAGCCCAGGACAATTCAGGTGGCTGGCTTTGCCTTCTCCTGTCATGCACCAGGGATACAGAAAAGGGGAGAAAAGATGGAAGGTTTTATTCAGCTGTCAGAAGGGAAGGCAAATGGCATAATAAAGGGGCTTCCAAGGACAAAGGTGACAAAAGGAAGAGTAAAGAAAGTGTAGGACTGCTGCTGAGTGAGTGACACAGGATAGAGAAAAAGCTGAGGTGCTGAAGGCCTTCTTTGCCTCAGCCTTAAGGAGCACCAGATGTACACTGGGGGTAAAGTCAGGATCAGGGAACACACACCCCTGATGGAAGGAGATCAGGGCAGTGAATCCTTAGCAAACTGCACAGATTTGTTGGAATGTGGTAAGGGAACTGGCTCCTGCCATTGCCAGGTCACTCTTGGTTACCCTCAGCTGAGCATGGTGACTGGATACTGGAGCAAAGCAAATGCCACTTGTGTCTTCAAAGAGGGGAAAAAGGAGAACCCAGAGAGCAGCAGCCTTCCCAGCCTCACCTTAGCCCCTTAGAAGGTGATGGAGCTGGAAACCTCTCCTAATCAAGGCATGTCAGGGGTGAGAAAGTCACCAGGGACGGGTCAGTGTGGCTTCACCAAGAGGAAGTTACGCCTGATCTTCTTGACAAAGTACTGTGGTGATGTGACAGAATGGTGAGGAAGAAAGAATGGTGGGTCTTCTCTACCTGGATGTGAGCAAAGCCTTTGACATTTTGTGTGGAATCCTGTGGAGCCTCAAAGATTGATGTTGGATGAGCAGACAATGAGACAGAGTGAAAAGTGACTGGCCAGGCACAGGGATCAGTGATCAGCTGCACAAAATAAAGTTGGACACCAGTGACTGGTGGTGCATCCAAATGGTCAGGACTTGATGGGTCCTGTTTATCAACTTCCCAACTGTAATGTGGTTGATGGGACAGAGTGGACCCTCAGCAGGTTTGCAGACAACACCAAACTGGGAAGAGAGGTTTATGCATCAGAGAGAGTCAGGCCAGCATCCAGAGGGACCTCAGTAAACAGGAGAAATGTGCTGATGGGAAACTCATGCAATTGAAAAGGGAAAGTGCAAATTCCCTTGTGCCAAAGAAGTCCAACTGTATCCCCAGCTCCACTGCACCAGGTGTTGCCAGGTGCTCAAGAAAGGTGACTGCTCTCCTTTATGCAGCACTGGGGGGGACACAGCTGCAGTGGCCTCCTCTGCTGCCCTTCCTCTGTGACCGTATTGGTGGCAAAAGGGATCAGTAAGAGAGGGGTAAGGTGAGTGGAAAATTGTCTGGCCTGCCAGGGCCAAAGAGTTGTGGCCATTGCTTCAAAATCCAGTTGGCAGACAGCGCTGGGATCTCTCAGGGATCAGCAGTAGGACCACCAGTGTTGCATATTACCATGAATGTTGTGAATGGTGAGAAGGAGGACACTCTCCACAAGATTGGTGGTCACGCTGAACAACCAAGAACAGGCAGTGAACTGGCTTTTGCTGGCCAAGTTGTTCCCAGAAAGTCCTGGAACCACCTGTGAAAAGGAAACAAGGAATACAGACTAGACTTTGGAAGCTCTCTGCAACAGAAGACTAAGCTACAAACAGCTGCAGGAACATGTGGCTTTCAGCATCCTCACTGCCATCTGCAAAAAATCCCTGGCTGCTGTCCATCTGCAAAAAATCCCTGGCTGCTGTTTCCAGCATCTGAGCACAGAGGCAGCTCGGGGAAGCTGCTCCATCTCCTGGTTCAGGCTCCTCTTGCTGCCTCAGGCTGCAGCTGGAGCTGTGCCGGCTAATTCTCGCTGGGATGTCCTTGCTGAAAGACGGGGAGAGTCCATTTGCCAGGACAGCAAGCTGTGTCTGCGCACAGCCCGAGTGCTCGGAGACAGCCCGAGCGGC